ACGCCCCTTACTGCTGATTGGCTACAAGTTTGTTTTGCTACTCGGCCCGAATCAGTTTTCTAAAGCGTTTTTGAAAAATCGCTTACCCCACCTTTAAGTATTTTCTTGGAAAAGAGATATGCTGTACGTCTTTTTCTGACATCGGGCCTTATTCATGAAACATGCCAAATTAATTTCTGCAAATCATTTATAAATCCATTCTTATGCAATTTCTTGCATTGAGCTGAATGCAACAATTTATTTACAAAAGATTTTGTGAACGATTTACGCAGATTTATTTTGTTCTTGTTTCATGAATAAGGCCCATTGATCATATAATCCGATCATCAAAGGCAAAAGAGGGAAAATAGTTATTTCTGACCCCAATCTAATACAGAGACCTGCCATAATACAGTAGATGGGTAAAGCTTTCGAGTTCAGACAGGTCAGGATGTGTTTTTCTTGCTGACCCCATTCCTGTCTCTGCTCTCTATCAATGATGCAGAAGGCTGGCAATCTCCAGAGATGCTCGGCATGTTCATATGTCCACACTCACCTTGTCCATCCTACCTGCAAAGCTCACAGAGATGTATATTTAGTAGCTGAGTGCAATACCATGACATGATGGTGTTGTTTGTACTGAGAGGAAGTGATTTTTATAAAGTTTATTGGCAGGGGAAACCCAGACACAAATCAGAGGTTGCTCTGTTATAGCTCATATTGTTTTTGGTTATGTTTTATCAACATGTTTTAGATATTTCTATCTATCTATCATCTATCTACCTATCTGTCTATCTATCTATCTATCTATCTATCTATCTATCTATCTATCTATCTATCTATTTCTTTCTTTCTTTCTTTCTTTCTTTCTTTCTTTCTTTCTTTCTTTCTTTCTTTCTTTCTTTCTTTCTTTCTTTCTTTCTTTCTTTCTTTCTTTCTTTCTTTCTTTCTTTCTTTTACAACAAGGTACTGCCCCAGAGAGAGCTTTTGTACTTTTATTTCTGAGAGTGATAGCCCTTGGCCAGCTTTTCTGTAGGATGACTCGAAGGACACATGCAAAATGAATAAGGAGCGTTTCGTAAAACATAGACAAGCAGCTCTCAAGCAGCTTAACATCTCAGACCTGAAGATTTCAGATCTTTGCATTTGTACTATACCTGCTTTTCATGGGTGTTTAGGATGTCTGCTCTCTGTAGACTCTGACGCAGACAGAGAGAGAAGGGTCAGATCACAGGGCAGCTTTAGACGTCCCCTGGAACAGACAGGGGTAAAGAGCCTCCATAGGAGAAATAACAACAGGGACTGATGTGCGCTGAAGGCTAGATTTTAAATTCCTTCCATGCTCTGTCTACGCTGACTGCAAAAGTCCTGTGTGGTGTGAAACAATCACAGTTGATCAGAAAAGACTTGATGTTTAATATACAGTTTATATATATATGTGACACAAGTTGTATCAAGGTTAATGAAGGTTTGAATGTTCACTGTGAATGAACGACATGGGTTAGTTGATGAGGATTTTGAGCACAGGTCTCTATCATTTCAGAAATGGTATTGGTGGTCAAATTGTTCTTGCTTTTCACAAAATCAGTGACCTTAAAGTCTTCCTGTCAAAACTCTCACTGATGCAATCTTGTGCAATATTTTAAATTCCTTCCGATGTCTTTTTGTTTGTCGGACAGAGAGGATGGAGTATGGAAATTTATTCACCCAGGCTTTGATAAGGTGAGTCGAGGGCTGGACAGGGTTGTCTTTTATTCACTGATAGGGAAAATCAAATACATTTGCGCATATTGCACATTTAATAAAAACTCTCCTTCAACTGTACAATTTCTTAAAGGAACATTTATAGTATAGAATAATCATTATTTAGCCATTATTTATCATGTCATTCCAAAACTATATGACCTTCTCTTTTACATGGAAGCCAAAAGTGTCCGTGTAATGAAAGTGAATGACAACTGAGCCTGTCAAGCTCTAAATGACAGAAAGCACCATAAGTTATGGCACCAATGATGTCTGCTTATCATACAGTGCTATCATATGATTGTGAAGACTTGAAATAGCACACAAGTTAAATGGAGAAGCTGTATGATACTTTTATAGTGCTTTTTTAAAAGCTTGAATGTTTCATTCCTCATTCTTCCATTGAATGAAAGAAGCGCTGGCTGATATTTTAGGACAAGATCCATAATCCACAGTTCTGTAAAGCATCTGGAAGGACTGGATGAGTCAGAGAAAAACTGAAAAACATTACCTACATTCTGACATAATTCAAACCCCTAATTTTAGCTCTCAATATCTAATGATGGGGAAATCAATAAACAGTGCACTTGTAAAAAACATTTGCTCTATTGATTTCTCCCCATTTGTTCTTCCAATTTGGTCTGGACTCAGAGCTCAATGGACTATCTAGTTGCAGATCAGATTTTTTGTGCCTTACTTAATTTAGCAAATTAGCAAAGAGGAGGATAAACAAATACAGATGTAAAGCACAGTCTGTGTTGGTTAAAAGCAATTTTTCATTTAACTTTTTTTTTTTTTGGTGTGTGCAGTTTCCCTCAGCTTTTGTACAGACTATAAACAGGGTTCCCATATACTCACAGAAAACATGGAAATATCAGGAAATGTATGTAAATGGAACTTGAAAAGTCATAAAATCTTAAAAAGTTGTAGGAAAGTCATGATTTAAAATATTAAAATATTTATTTGGCTAGATATTGCTTTTTGCCAGTGCTATAGTGTAGAGTGTTTATGTATCACAACATTATTTGGATTACAGTAATCTACCATGTTCAGAGATATTCACATATGGTGCAAGCTTCTGCTGTTTTCATTTTCTCTCAAAAATCACTAAATGCTCCTAAACACAGTTAGATACTAACATAATATTTATTATAAATATTTATGAATTTAGCATGAATGAGTAGATGAATTAAGAGTCTGTGTGATGTTGCGGGTGAAATATAGAAAGAGGAACGAAGACTTTTGCCTCATTTAAGAAATATCTGACAGCACTGACAAAAGTAAAACAAAATTTGAAAAATATTTTTAAACTTGCAGTAGGCTAAACTATTTGTGTGCAACAAACCAGTGTGTTAATGATTATAATGATTATGATAATAAAATAACAGTTTGCAAAATAAAGCAACATAATGGACTGTTTATGTAAAAGTAAAATAACTGGAAACAAATAACACTGGAAGCCACGCAAGTTACAAAGTTAAAAGTAATTTAGGGCAGTGAGTGATCATTTCATTTCACAATTTTGCAAAAATAAAGACTAAATAAAACGAATTTTGTGTAAAGAAAAATATTCGGATCGTGTCTGATTAATATCAAACTGAAAATGTTTTTTTTTTTTTTTTTTTTTTTAAATAACTTTCAACACAATACAAAACAGTAACATACACACACTACCTGATATACAACAAAAGAGAATACAAAAACTAAATGATACATAAGATGACAAGCAGAGCATTATATCACAGATCAAAATTAACAATAAAAACTGGGGAGAATACACGAATCGCGTATATACACCTCTAGGAACACTATGTCATACCAAGCCACAAAATGTCACAGGTAGAAGCATTTATGCAGTTAAGGTATGGTGTCCATATACGATTAAAAGCATCTGTTGTAGAATGAATAATACAGGTCAAGAGTTCCAGAGGAATAATCTCCCTAATGACTGAATGCCAGCCTTTGATGGAGGGAGGCTTATCACTGATCCATGACATCAGTAGATTAAAAATGAATGTCAAGTAAAGATATGGAATATGTTTCTTGCATGTCTCAAGAATCAGAGCACTGCTCACAAAGTGTGGGAACTCAGTATAAAACTAACATAAATGTTTTAGTAGACTGCAACCCTGTAATAGCTGCGGCCAAGCCAACTGATCATCATCACTTTGTCGTTTACAGATATAATTAATTAAACATAACAAATTTGCATTTTTATCTTACAAATGTAATCAACCGTTGTGTTTACAGCCAATCTGTTTCGCTTTGGTGTCCTCCGCCAATCAAAATCGTCGCTTGGGTTCAGCCTCCTGCCCTGACTGACGGATTGTGGGCGGTCCCTGCACTGCTTCAGCCAATCACGGCGTGCTTCTTTAACCACGTTGCGCGCTACGGACTGGCGAACCCGCGAGAGTATTCTAGGCCGCTTGTGTGATCAAACAGATCCATTCCGTTCTTGGGGAACATCATCGAGATTAGACGTGGGCTCTCAACTTTATTCCAGTGGCGGACGGGGGTCCTTTGCATCTGTATTGAGGTGCCGATAGCCGCATTCACGCCCGTGAGTATTGACGTATTTCCACGCTTGTGTTATATTTAGACACGGGATATTTTGCGCGTGTTCCCGCTGTGTTTATGTAACGCAAACGGATTTTTTTTTCTATATGAAAGCTCCTCAGAGCCTGACGCTAGTTGTTCGTCTGGTTATTTGACAGGGGTAAAAGCAGAACTGTTCTATTAGTAGATGTTAACCCGCCCCCGCTGTTTTTTAACGTTAGGTGCGTAATTACGCGCCTGTAGTGTGAAACTAATAATGAACGCGATGCATCGCTGCAGCTCTGATTGGAAGCGGGGCAAGCGAGCGTGTCTTAATGCAGTTCCACAGTCCACAATGGAAACGCGCACGATGGATGGAGAAATAACCGCGCTTAACCAGGCTGTGCGGAATAACGCTGGTGAAATTGCTTGTTCGAGTCCGACGCGATGTTTTCAGTCAAGTGCATTTAGACTGCAACTTCCAAATATCTCTGTCGTGAAAAGTGTTCGTGTGACTGTGGCAGAAATTAATGCATTCATTCACATGTCTAAATTTGGTCAAGGCAAATCGCACCTTCCACCCGTATGCATATAATTTGCATTACAAAGATAATTCTGTCATCGTCTACCTAGTCGTTTGACTTTTTTCCCTATGCAACAAATGAGTTATCAAAACGTCAAAGCTGCTCCATGCATTCATTAAAGATGTAAAGGCTACTACAACAAAGTAACACTAATATATTGTGTTACCATATAATGTTGTTTGGCTGTTGTTATTAGAGGTCGACCGATAGTGGATTTTGCCGATACCGATAGCTAGGTTGGACCACACTGGCCGATACCGATTAATTAACCAATAGTTTTAAAATTGATACTGAACAAAAACTAAAATAGTGCTTTATTAACAAAAACAGTACTGAACCATACTAGTAGTAGTATGATGACAAGCAGAGCATTATATCACAGTTCAAAATTAACAATAATAAAAACTGGGGAGAATACATGAATCTTCTATACACCTCTAGGAACACTATGTCATACCAAGCCACAAAATGTCACAGGTAGAAGCATTTATGCAGTTAAGGTATGGTGTCCATATACGATTAAAAGCATCTGTTGTAGAATGAATAATACAGGTCAAGAGTTCCAGAGGAATAATCTCCCTAATGACTGAATGCCAGCCTTTGATGGAGGGAGGCTTATCACTGATCCATGACATCAGTAGATTAAAAATGAATGTCAAGTAAAGATATGGAATATGTTTCTTGCATGTCTCAAGAATCAGAGCACTGCTCACAAAGTGTGGGAACTCAGTATAAAACTAACATAAATGTTTTAGTAGACTGCAACCCTGTAATAGCTGCGGCCAAGCCAACTGATCATCATCACTTTGTCGTTTACAGATATAATTAATTAAACATAACAAATTTGCATTTTTATCTTACAAATGTAATCAACCGTTGTGTTTACAGCCAATCTGTTTCGCTTTGGTGTCCTCCGCCAATCAAAATCGTCGCTTGGGTTCAGCCTCCTGCCCTGACTGACGGATTGTGGGCGGTCCCTGCACTGCTTCAGCCAATCACGGCGTGCTTCTTTAACCACGTTGCGCGCTACGGACTGGCGAACCCGCGAGAGTATTCTAGGCCGCTTGTGTGATCAAACAGATCCATTCCGTTCTTGGGGAACATCATCGAGATTAGACGTGGGCTCTCAACTTTATTCCAGTGGCGGACGGGGGTCTTTTGTATCTGTATTGAGGTGCCGATAGCCGCATTCACGCCCGTGAGTATTGACGTATTTCCACGCTTGTGTTATATTTAGACACGGGATATTTTGCGCGTGTTCCCGCTGTGTTTATGTAACGCAAACGGATTTTTTTTTCTATATGAAAGCTCCTCAGAGCCTGACGCTAGTTGTTCGTCTGGTTATTTGACAGGGGTAAAAGCAGAACTGTTCTATTAGTAGATGTTAACCCGCCCCCGCTGTTGGTAACGTTAGGTGCGTAATTACGCGCCTGTAGTGTGAAACTAATAATGAACGCGATGCATCGCTGCAGCTCTGATTGGAAGCGGGGCAAGCGAGCGTGTCTTAATGCAGTTCCACAGTCCACAATGGAAACGCGCACGATGGATGGAGAAATAACCGCGCTTAACCAGGCTGTGCGGAATAACGCTGGTGAAATTGCTTGTTCGAGTCCGACGCGATGTTTTCAGTCAAGTGCATTTAGACTGCAACTTCCAAATATCTCTGTCGTGAAAAGTGTTCGTGTGACTGTGGCAGAAATTAATGCATTCATTCACATGTCTAAATTTGGTCAAGGCAAATCGCACCTTCCACCCGTATGCATATAATTTGCATTACAAAGATAATTCTGTCATCGTCTACCTAGTCGTTTGACTTTTTTCCCTATGCAACAAATGAGTTATCAAAACGTCAAAGCTGCTCCATGCATTCATTAAAGATGTAAAGGCTACTACAACAAAGTAACACTAATATATTGTGTTACCATATAATGTTGTTTGGCTGTTGTTATTAGAGGTCGACCGATAGTGGATTTTGCCGATACCGATAGCTAGGTTGGACCACACTGGCCGATACCGATTAATTAACCAATAGTTTTAAAATTGATACTGAACAAAAACTAAAATAGTGCTTTATTAACAAAAACAGTACTGAACCATACTAGTAGTAGTAGTAGTAAAAATAAATAATAGTAATGGTAATGCTCTAACAAGGAACAATACTTACACAGCTTTCATGAATCTTAATGCTACAAATGGACTCTTATTTTAAAGTGTTACCATTTCATTTCAACTGTCATGCTTAAAGATGCACATCTTTAAATATATACACAAAGGCTATAGCATTAAAATTATATGGATATTGTATACTTTCACACTTTAACTGCTTCTATTCTTGAACACTTGATGATTATCTAATCAAAATAAAAGCGCAGCGCTGAGTCTAGGAGAACTCACCGGTATCACACACACTCCGGACGCGTCGCGTTCAACTCGAGCAGCGGTCTAAAACAGTTTATTTAATCACCAAACGGACACAAGTTTACTTCAAGAATGAACAATTTGGCATGGATGAGTTTGAAGTTCGGTGTTTAAAAAAACGGAGCAAACGGAAAGAGAAAGCGCGACCTATATTATAGCTCTATAAATGAAGCACACAGACTTTATTAGAGCCACAGAAAGACAAACGTTTTGCTGAAAATGCACAATACACAATTCATTATGTACATTAACAACGATTCGGGCGCGGCAGGATTTTCTGTCGGCTGCATTTAAATCCGCGTCTGAAGTTTCCCGCTCTGTTCAGCGTGCAGTATCACGTGTCTAAACAAATAGCACGTGCTGTCAGTGATTTCAACCACTAGAGGCCGCTCTCGCACTGTGTAATGACAGCAGACCCTTCTCAGCTGCTCCAGCAATGGACGCGACCCAGAAAACTATCGGCATGGATTTTTGTCAATAACCGATAGTTCCAGCAATCAACTATCGGTGCCGATTAATCGGCAAAACCGATACATCGGTCGACCTCTAGTTGTTATTAATAGTCACCTTCTTTTCAGTCCGTTAGTCATCAAAACGTCAAAGCTGCTCTGTGCCATTTATTGAAGATGCAAGGTGACAGCTGTCAAAAATGCATATATTTTAATTGTATATCTTATTTTAGTTTGAAAAGCCTTATTTCCCTTACACAACTATCTTTGAGTACTCCGAAAGGCACTCTATGAAATATTATTACTAAACAGTAAGTAGTGTTATTTTAATATTAAATATGATGATATTTCACCAACATTATAATACTGTATAACTTATTTTTTTTATTCGATCATTGTATTTATTTACTATATTTATGAACACACTTTTTATTCCCATCGGGACACTTCAGAGTCCCATTAAGTAGATATTTATTTATTCATTCAAAATTACAACAAAAAGAACATATTTTGTATAGCTTAATATTACCACATAGTGTTGTTTGGCTGTTATTATCATTCACTTTTTAGACGATTAGTCATCAAATTCTTGGTAAACACCACAAGTGTATATCAGTGGTGACGGCAGGTGCAGCTTTAGCATATTAAAACCAGCTCACACACAGGTCTTTGTGTGTTTTAAGTCATTTCAGGTTAATTTCAGTTTGGATGTGACCACAAGTTCTGATTTTTGAGTGGGTGATTTGTTGACTTTGTAATTAGTCTGTCCATTTTTACCAGTTCAATGCATTCAGGCGGACAGTGAGTGCACCTGTTATCATAGGTGTGCATTGTTTTATTTTACAGTGTGATCAGCCAATCACATAGATGCTTTGCCTTCTCTTCTGTGACATTTTGCCTGTTTTATGTACTTGCCCACCCATAACAGTTTGTTGTATTTTTTCTTACTTTGGTCGTGTCTTTTCACTAAAGTGAGTCACCAAAGACAGCAGTCATGTTTTAATGCTCCTATATCTCATATTTATATCAGTAGTGCTTGTAAAGTTCAGGGATTGCAGGAGTCGTTTGTCTTAAATCGGAACATAAAGTCCACATTAGATGAACTACTAGTTAGTTTGTAACTAACTCTACTTTATTTGGTTGCACGATTTGTTCTTAATGCAGAACATATTAGTAGGTCATAAGCTCTCCGTAAAGTAATGCATAGTTGCATAATATTATGCTTACCTTCAATTATCCAATAGCAGCCTTCTCATTCATGAGCAGAAGCTGTGTTCTGAAATGCAGCAAATTTCAGTTTTTTTCCTTGATTCGAACTTCTATTACCTTGCGTAACTAAAGTGAAATACAAATATTGATACAAATACAAAAATTGAAATGCAATACTACAAAATCGTGAATAACATTCAGAAACTGTATTGGACATTTAATAAGAATCAATAAATAAATACTCGTGAAAACATAAGAAATGCCATTTATTTATTATGATTGATTTGATATGATTAAACGTGGAGTGATGCACACAGAGGCACTGTGTTTAGGTCAGATTTGTGTTGAGGTGCTGGTAGCAGAGT